AATACCCCCTGAAGCACTGAAAGCGGACCCAGAGACGACAGCAGACATGCTGACTCCATTATTGCAAAAGGTCTGGAAGGAGGGAAAGGTGCCTACTGACTGGAGGAAGGTTACCTCGTGAAACTACCAAAGAAGGGCGACTTAAGACCCAAAATGCAAGAACTGGCGAGGAATCATGCTCCCGTCGACGCCAAGTAAAATCCTGAGTCGCATCATCCTGGAGAGATTAAAGGACGCACTGGAGACAGAACTCCGACCAGAACAAGCTGGATTCAGGAAAGGCAAATCATGTACTGACCAAATAAATGCAACTCTACGCATCATCATCACAGAACAAAGCATGGAATGGCGATCAAACCTCTACCTCAACTTTATAGACTTTGAGAAGGCCTTCGACAGCGTTGACCGTGAAGTAATTTGGAAATTACTCGAGTACTATGGCGTACCCCAAATATTCATCAACCTTATTCAACAGCTGTACGACAACGGCACATGTCAAGTGATCCACAACGGAAAACTCAGCGAGGCGTTTGGAGTAAACACAGGAGTCAGACAAGGGTGATGGCTTATTATCACCAATGATATTCCTAATTGTGGTGGACTGGATTATGCGTCAGACAGTGGGAAACGAGAAGACAGGGATATCCTGGACCGACGTGAAGAACCTAGAAGACCTGGATTTCGCGGATGATTTTTGCTTGATGTCATACAAAATCGAAGACTTACAAGCGAAAACTAAAAAACTGGTCGAAGAAGCAGTCGGCGAAGACAGGACTCCGAGTGAACAAAGACAAGACGGAGGTAATGAAAATAACCAACCAACCAACCAACAACAACAACGAAAAAAGCAGAAACATCCAGCGCGAATCACCATCAACAGGAGGGACTTGAAAGAGGTTACTTCATTCACTCACTTATCTAGGGGGGAGGGAACATGGTCTCAACTACAGGAAGTCGGAACGGATGACGGATGACGATGTCAAATCGAGCGAGAATCGGGTGGTGGGCAAGAAACACACTCACTCATCAACCTGAAACAACCAATCTGGAAACCAATCTTCGTCACTCAGCCAGCATCAACAACAAAATTCCGTCGGTCGGATTTTCAATACAAACACGTCAAGTCAGTCAGCTCTTCTCCATTGAACGGGTCAGAAATTTGGCGGGTGGGTCACAAAGAATATTTCCAACAGCAGCCTATTGCAGACGTTACCTTCATCGACAACTAACTGTCTTCGCTGGATCTATACTGAAGATCAGATGGCAGGGTCGGGCCAGGCCGGGCCGGGCCGGAAAGAATCACCAACAAGCACCAAACTATGGGAACAAACAAACAAACAAACAAACAAAACAAGAACCAATCGCCAAACAACAGCAAATATGCAGGAGAAAGGGGATTGAGATGGATTGGACACTCGCTCGCTGAGGAGGCCGCCGTTGGGTGACATCGCGCTCACGTCAGGCCCTTCCTCGAGTGGAACCGAAAAGGGAAGCAAGCGGCGAGTGGTTCGTCAGTGCAAGGGTGACATGGAGGAGATCGTGTCAGTTGGAGGAGTTTAAACAGTATGTACTAACATGGATGCAGGTGAAAACTACATCAGCAGAATACAGAAGCAAGTGGAGACGTGCAGTTGAAGCCCTATGTTTCACCAGGAACCCAAGGGAGCAATAATAATATGCCCATTCCCCTTTACTGCTCCCCATTAATGTTTTCTTGGACTTCTTTAGATAGACTTTGTTTTGCTGAGAAGGGCAGGCACTAAAAGCCGTCAGTAGGGCAAGTGGGATATCGTTAAAACAACTGATTAACACCATTGTGGATAGACATCTAATGTCATGTAAGAAACTAGCGAATACAATATTGTCAGACCCGAGAATCCTCTCTGCACGCAGCTCTCTCCTTGAATCTCATCTGGTAGAACTAGAAGTAGCCATAGGAGGCTGGCTGGCTATATGCTAGGACTACCAAGTACAAAAACTGCACAATACCATATCTGGCACAGCTGTTATGTGCGTGATGAGAAATCCGTTAGGTATGACACGGTCTACTTACTGCGGCACTCAAACAAATAGTTCCCATTAATTTTTATTTTCCTTTCTTCGTTACTATTATATTGTTGTTCACATCTTCTATTACACACTAATTTTATATTTCATACCCTGTGGTGCATTGTTTAAAATATAAACGCAACGCTGTTCTTTTTTATTTCTTTATTTATTTGTCTATTATTTTGGTTGTTGCTTTTTTGATTTTAAAATCTTATAGAATTTATGAGGTAATTAGATGCAATATTGTGACGCACGCTGAAAATTCCATAACTGTACCACAAATACTGTTTGGAATAAAGCTGTTATTATTATTAAAAGTTTCTATTTATAAATCTATGTAAATTTGAGTAAATCCTTATGAAGATCTAATTGAAATCAATATTGTTCGCTTATATGTCTTGTTCTAATTGTGATTTATACTTTCATTATGCATATTCATTGATTTATATACAAGGAAAGAGACGGCTTCATCACTATGAAACCAGTTTGAAAATCTCCTACACTCAACATAAGGAACAACATTCGGATTTTCAACACCAATTAGAAGTCTGTCAGTGTTTCTATACTGCACTGCGTATCACGCAAAGGATTTCCAACAGGTTACTGCGGAATTTCATCAACAGCTGCCTCATTCGCTGTCTGGTTCCATACTTAAGATCAAATACCCAACCGACCAGAAAGAATTAGTAGGAAGAAATTCTGGCTGGTAAGAAGCCACCAAGCCACCAAGAGTCGATCACTCAACAAATATGTAGGAGAGAATGAAGATGGATTGATCTGGCCAACATGTTTAATTTTTGGATTTTAATATGATTTTGATAACAGCGGTTAGGACCCTCGCCGACCATGAACATGATCCAAGGTTCGATCCCCGGCCGACGCACTCCTTTACCTTGCTTAGCCAGAAATAAAAAGCTGGTAAAGAGGAAAGGTTGGGCATGACACTAGCAACCCCATCCTGTAAAAATAAACACCCCTACTACAGAAACTTCAGCCACTAGCTTGAAGCCTTATGTTCCACTGGGAACGTGAAGGAAAATTATTATTATTATTATTATTGATAACAGCTTGACGACACACCATATTTTTGGTAGAAGTATGGTTTTTTTAGCATGTGATATCAGTAGCCCAAATTTTGCCGGCCGACCATAGACATCGGATGTGCGTTGGCAGGGGATCGAACGTCGGATCATGTGCATGGTCTGCGAGAGTCCTAATCGCTGTGCCGTCGAATGACATCACGCGACAGGCCTTCGAGTGGAATTGGGAAGAAGCGGTTATCAGTCGATATTTGCACTGCATGGTAGCTGGATATTTTTCATCTCTGTTACATATGAATGCGTAATGCCGGAAAGCTTCCATTGTATATGATTATTATTGTTCGTAATACTGTTTAATATTACATATTGATATGTAAACACATGATGTGTGTTTTGTTTTTGACAGTCTGTCATATTTCGCTATGTATATATGGATCGATATTTAATTATAACTGACAATATGCTTTTGTCTGTCCACTAACTAAATAAACAATGTATGACCTTGTTGTCAGATGACATTACAACCAATCATGTTAAGACCGTCTATTTATTGGTTCATGTGTATTAGCCATTTGCATATATACTCTTGCTTGCTTTATCATTCTTGTTCATTCTTGTTTCCACGTTTCGTACACTACGTACCATTTCACTCACACTCTTGTGTGACATTTATTTTCCTTGTCTGGAAAATACAAGTATCATCGTAAACCTGGTGGTCTTCTGATTTCCTCCTTCCGCATCAGGACTATTGACTACTCGAAGAGTACATAACACATATATACATATATTATTACTGTACGCATATTTGCATCGATTGGTTTTTGTTTAGAATAAATTCTGTGCAAATATGTTGAAATTTTTATTGTAGATATATTTGATAATATCTTTCGCCTCTAAGCATCTGACCAGAAGGCAACGAAATAAACAGTGGTGGAACAAATTTATTCTGCTGAAATTCTAGTTCTTGCTTTGTAGAATTTATTTATTTATTGTTCATAATCATTTCATTACTTATAATAAGAAAACTTCGAACTTTCCTTTCAAAGTTTGCTTTACTCCTTCTACTCGTCACTGTACTGGAGACGTAGTAGAATTTTCTAGAATCGATGATAGTGATAATGATAATATTTATAATGATATTATTGACAACATGTATGTGAAACATGCACAGGATAATGGTAACACCAGCAATGAGGGATAGAACTTCTCATTAGTAGTACTTCCATACACAGGAGGAACCTCGGAAACCGAACGGTGGCGTTTTCTTGACAATGCAGGCAGGAATAAAAGTGGCTGGCATTCACACCTACACACTCAATTAGGGAGAATCTTTGTCGGTTACGGGGAGTGCTTGCCGATGGATCCAATTAAACCAAATAATTTAGTTTATTCAATACCCTTCTGTTCAGCTGCAAACAACCATACAACAGGATGATGGGATGAGGTGACAGTTCCGAAATCGAATATAAAGAGTTGGAGCAACGGAGGGAGAGATTGACATAGGAAGTTTTATTTATTGAATCAGTTGCAAACACGCGTAATAAGTAAGAATGACTGAACCTCTTTGTACCGAGATAACTGGTCAATTCCACCACCGACCCCAGCCCACGAATAGAATTGAATAAAATAAGGAAAACCATGAAACGAAAGTTTCTAAGTTGTGTGATTATAATTGATGATGTGATTATGAACAATAAATAAATAAATTGTGTTGGAAACGTTGTCATTCAGTTATTAATAATGCTGTTTCACGTGTGTGTGTGTGTGTGTGTGATATATCTAATAATCAAATTAATATGGAATTACATGCTACCACAGTGCCCAAGTTTTACACATATATTAAAATAAAATTCGATAAAACACATTGATAAAGACAACGTTGTTTTCAATTAGATCTCATCAGGCTCAACTCTAATATGCATAACTCTACAAATAAATATTTAAATATAAAGCAGTCATGGTGACGTTTGTGACATTTGACACGCTACTACTACTACTACTACTACTAGGCAGCTTAATCGACGTGTCATTGAACATTTCAATTGTGATTTGACAATGCATTGACAAGAATCATGCGTATCCCCGTTTCTTGTCACATTTAATCGAGAAAACGAAAGCATTCAAGGTGATTCATGGCATCTCACCGAATCTTTTCAAAGGATTCTATACTCATCTATCACGGATGTATAGATGAGGCAACAGACATTCGAACTAGTAAGCCTAAACTAATGCATTCAAAGTGCTGGAATATCTCACTGGTAACATTTCTGAGTGCGTCGCTGGTTAGCACGGGTTCGAACCCCAGAAGGGACATTAGCTGTTCCTTCAAGATAGTTGCAGATACGTCTGTCTTGATGACTGACTGACTGACTGGTGAGTGCCAAGTAGCTCGAAACCTAGGTCAGGTAGGGCTTCCTATGGCCGATTTCCGCCAAGCATCTAATAACATAAAATCAATGTGCACCGTGATGGAGGGCCAGCCACCTTGTGCCATGGTGGCCACATTGCAAACCTGACTGACTGATAGAATTCAGTCTACACCAGACAAAATACTAAACACAGCACACTAGTTACTAGTGTCTAATCAAAGTGAGATTTATGTACACTGATATAGAGGGAATTAAATGACGTTGTAACTCCATCTGTACTGCGATTGTATGAAGATTTTTGTTTCGGTAGCTAGCTGGATGCAATCTGAATAATGAAATACATAAGCGATTGATTTCATGTAATTAACACGTATTTTAGCTGAATAACCAATTCACTATGAATTGATAAACGTATTAGTCATATTAGCTATTGATTTTGTAACTGATGCCCATTGTGAATGGATTTAATTCTGCCTTCTAGACAAATCAATAAATGTGAGTTGTGATCACTATTGCCCAACTTTTATCATTGGATAATTTTACTTACAACTATGACCTTGTGGTGTGAGCTGTATTCATGAAAAATTAAATTATAAATACGAATGCAATGCAGATTGAATCATTTTTTCAAAATGTCATACACGGTCGCGGATTATCTGGTCTGTGTGATGCCAGCAATTGTTTTTCTGTGGATACTCGCGGCCATCCTAGCTTTTATTGATGTTAGAACTCGTTACTGGTTGAATCGTTTAAGAAACAGAGTTCGGAGAAGGTAAGCAGGTGAAACTAGTATGATATTTGCCTAATTCATTTATTTATATAGACGTAATGGATCGAGTTGGTTTGATCAGATTCTTCGTTCTTTTATGAGTTAGTCGAGAGATAATGAAACATGTCTTGTTCTATGTCAAACTCTGTTGATTACATTACTTCAATAAACAGTTTTATTGGATAATTTACAGTGTTCTAAAGTGTTATCATTGGATTCAAGTTGTTTACGTTTTCGTGTGTGTGTGTTATCTGTACATGTGTTATTCAGGTAGATATAGGCGTTTCGTTTGACCATGCGATTTATTGTTTGTAAATGCGCTACTAAGACAATTCATACGCCCCACTTCCCGCTAGGGTAATGTCATCTTCCGTAATTGACGGCGTGTAATTTCCACTTATACATGACAAGATTATTTATTTATTATTTAGATTATATCTACTTACCCTCAAACACTCGAATATCTCATCCGACTTCAGTCTTGGAACCAACCGACTGTCCCCAGTTCTGTTTAATTTCATCATAGATGTGCGTTCGAATGGACTTAACTCTAACTGAGTTGCGTGACTCAACGACTGAATTGTTACCACCAGGGAATAAAAGTCACGTTAACTTAGAATATGCTCAAGGTGACATAGTCACCACTTCAAGGTGAAGACGCTGGCTGACAAAAGAGAGCAGAATCTTCTCAGCACCTTGAGCTTGAGCAGAATTCTTCGAATGTATGTGCCATGCGATCGATTCGTTCGTGCTGCTAACAAATATAAGATGATGAGGCTGTAGGACTGGACTGAACTTAACTGGACTGCATCGATTACTCCTGGCTTAAAGATAAACAGGATTGTAGTGGTGTTTGGCTGTCTCACTAGACGCGTTGACTGCTTGACTTATTTGGTTTTTTAACTTCCCGGCAAGAAGTCAGATAACTCAAAATATTATTGCTCTCCTAGCAAAAACTCAAGGTGATTACACATCCATTATATATATATATATATATATATATATATATATATATATATATATATATATATATATATATATATATATATATATATATATATAACTTACCGGTATTGCGTTTTTCGCAGTATTTTGAGCAGATACAACTGGAAATGTATTCATTTGAGATTGTAATTCATTGTTGTTTACTGTGTTGTGATTGGCTTTTAAAGACAATGATCTCACAGAAGAAGACGTCGAAGTAGACGAAGACGGGGAGGAAGATGTGTTAGTGCACACGCATTTTGCAAGACGACTTAACAAATCAGAAGTTGTTGCTGTTGTTTTTGTAGTAATTGATGTAGATTCAGTGATGTTAGAATTCGGCATTGTAGTGAGTACATAGGGATTCTGTGCAGTCAAATGATTGGTAATAGAATTCGGTCCAGTTAATAGCCATGATAGAGCCGACGATGGTGATGGCGGTAATAATGGTGACGACGCTGTTGAATTCGGTTGAAATAATAGTCTATCTTGTGGTTGTAATTCTTGCCGACTGGACGATGATTCATAATGTGACATGAATGCAGGATTTCTTAAAATTATGAGAAGATAAAACAAACAGATTTACTAAGTAACCAAGTAAGTGTATAACACCACATTGTCTGTTATCTTGCGTATATCACTTAATAAAAATGAAACACACACACACTCTCTCTCTTTACAAATAGTCTATAATCATTTAATAAGTCTTTGAGAGTTGATTTGTACAGATTTGGTATGTTTCTGGTTCGCTGACAAATGGATACCAGGGAACGAAATATATTCCCATATATTGTTGAGTCATAAGAAAGACAAAAGAAAAAGAAGACGTACATAGCAAAGAGACTATTTTTTTTTATTTTCAACGATTCATTTTCATTCATAAGCTGTTGTACAATAGTCGTAATTATATTACGCTTAACAAAGAATTCATGAGACGGTCACTCAGATATTGGTAGGATTTCTCCTCTAGAAACGTATTACCTGATGCAAGGTGTAGTCTACAAGGGGTGACTAATTGGAAATAACAAAACTGAGGAGGCGGAATGTGGAGTGACGGAATTAGTATGAGAAATGGCTGTTCGATGAAATTAAGTAGAGTGGCCGACAACCAGTGGTAAGACGACGATAGAGTGTTTTTCATAAAATCTGTCTGAAGATGCAATGCTATAAACAAACAGTAGTAGAGTGATAATGAAATAAGGATGATGACAACAATAATAATAGTAATAACAGTAAACCTGCATAATAAAAGGAAGCAAAGTTATAGTGAGGACGTTATTGTCTCCACGGTACGATGGGTGGCGAGTGAATGTATGTGGTGCTTTTGAATGCAGCGGTCAGGTTTTGAGATCTTGAAGAGCCAATAATTCACCTATATACAGAGTGTGTATTCGAAGTAAATCCTTCCGTACAACATTGAGGGATTCTGTGTAGCACTGTGAAGCATTCGTGCAAATAGAAGTGCCCTATATCCAGAGTTGACAAGGTGTTCGAGGATGGAGTTGCTGCCAAGCTGGACAGTGTTCTATAACACGTTTGTGGACTTGACATTGTGTACGGCCGATATATTCTTTGCTCCATATGAACAAGTAAACTGATAAACACACACCAACGAGGTGGCTAAAGGCGGTATCTTATCCTTAACGTTAGTCTGAATAAATTGTCTGATGGAGAACGTGATCAGTAAGGTTGCTGTTTGAAATGTCTTCTGTGAACATTTAGAAATGTGGCTTCTAAGAATTTCTGATTCGATGTCATATTTGGATTCCAGGTTCATGTAGAGACTTTTCTTCGAAACAGTTGTGGATTTTGCCGATGAATCTTGATGGATACCCATTCTCTAGTAGGGTTTCACGTAATGGATTCAAATCATTCTCTATTGTGTTTTCCGAACAGATCTGTCGTATCGTCGGCCATGATGAACGTACTAGGTTTCGCTTTCGGACCAGTAGGACGAACTTCTGGAAGTTGATATACTGTCCCTTACATGTTGGTTTGCGATATATTGATTTCTGGATCGTGTAGTCTTGTTTTCTGGTAAGTAGCACATGCAGGAATTGAGATGCCATCTTTGATTCGCGTTCTAAGATGAATCTTATTGATGGGTGTACTGCGTTTTAGGATTTGGGGAGATACTCTTAATCAACGTTTCATCACAAATTATGAACGTGTCATCTACGTATGTCTCCTGTGGAAGTGAGGATGGCTTATCAGAGGAGCGAGGATGTTGATTTCGGGAATCAGTCAGCTAGTAGTGGACCGATAGGAAACGCCATAGCTGCACCATCTCTCTGTGCATAGAATTGTTCACTGAATTTGAATCGGATAATAAACGTGCATCTGAGAAGTATTTTCTTCAGGTAGTTGATGGGAAGAGGAACTTCCAGGTTGTTGGTTTCAGGGTAGTCTCAGATGAAACATATTGTCTAAGTACTGGAGATGCTTGTGAACAGAGAGGTGACATCTAGCAAAAGCGGTTGTCTTTCGAACACTCTGATATCTTTCATTGAATCGATGAAGTCAAATATATGTCATATGTCTTCTTATTGGTTCAAGGTGATTTGATAGCCATTTCGCAATCCGATGAAATGGTACGTTGACTATGTCTTTATTGCGCAGGAACGGAACATTCTTCTTTTACACTTTAGGCAATCCAGTCAGGGAAGTGTTTAAAACCCAACAAGAAAGTACAGGATATCCGTTTCTATCGTCCTAGCATGGGACTCATCAGCAGTGAGACCCCACCATGGGGATTCAAACACAGCATTCTCTAGCTACAAGACAAGCCCAGTGAATATTCACACTCCCTGAGATCCAACTTGATAACCCAGTAAATACTTAAATAACTTAAATACTAGTGACCAGTTTGCAGAAACAGGAGACAAATACATGGACAAAGTCAAATTGGAAAGAAACTCAGAACTATATTTGGCTCAAGATGGAGTTTAATTCCAATTCGTAGATGCATGTATTGAAATCGTTCCCTTTTTCCATAGTAATTTGTCTATTAGATATATCATACACACACACACACACAAATATACAGTGGAACAGTATTACTGATTGCTGGGCGACGAAGTTTTGAACACTACTGTTGTTCGTAGTCATACGAATAGTTTTCCTTATTCCCTCTTATTCGTCGTCAAATGGGTAGTGGAAAATTTCAGACGTTTGTGTACAAAGATGTTAAGTGATTTATATTACACGTATTCACCCCGTCAGTTGATTCGATATACAAAGCTTCCATTATCAATCTCTCCTTTCATCCTGTTATGTAAGATTTTAGAACTGTCATTTTATCCCATCATCCTATATATTGTATGGTTGTTTGTAATTCCATGTAGTGAGTGCATTAGCTCAACTATTGTCCACATTTATCTTATTAGGGTCGACTGATCTACATTTTGCTTGGTTCTTAAGCTTTGCTAGTTTGACCAGCTCCGTTCTCCTAGATTGGCCTGACATTCACTCTAGCAGGGTGTTAGAGAAACTAAATTGTTTTGTTTAATTGGTTACATAGACAGGATCTCTTAACTGACAGTGCTTCTTTCTAATTGATTCTGTGAGTTTGAATACCAGCCACTTCTATTCCTATTCGAAGACTAATCAATAAGCCCATTTAAGGTTTCACTGAAGCGTATCGTAATTTACCAGGACATACTTGATAATGCGAGTAATAACAATAAATATAATAGTGGCTTTATTGCAGACAACAGTTTTGCTACAATGTGGAATTCTCAACATGCAATACAATATTGCGTCTAACTGTCTCCTTACATTACATTACATTGCATTGCATTGCATTGCATTACACATAAGAGAGATAGGCGGAAATAATTAGACAGGGCAGTTACATTCATGGTATTATTCAACAAGAAGATGGGTATACAATTAAAATGAAGGTGGAAATATTCACTAGAATAATGTGAGAGGTTGAATAATAATAAAGCGCGGGTTACTCAGTGTTTCGCATTCATCCAGTAGTGTCATTACATTTAAAATCTACACCAAATAAGGTGTGGTAGAGTTTAGATGCTTAGTCATCCGAGAATAAAGTCTTCCACAAGGTTGCTTGTAGTTCTACCTGATGAAATGTTGGAAGAGAGTTATTAAGAAACGCGCTGTTTAGAGTTGAACACGATAATATTAGCTAATTTCCTGCTTGAATCTATGTGTCTATCTGCAAAAGTGTTAACAACTTAGTTTAACGACAAGCAACCCATCCTACTGACAGCGTTCAACGCCCTTCACAGTGTAGCAAACAAAGTCTTTCTTAAGTAGCAACCAGGAAAGATTAAGATGTCGGTTGATGAGCAGTAAAGAAGAATAGGTAGAATACAAGAATTGATGAACTGCAAAATTACAGACTGAATGGTACCGGATTATATTTATTTCCCTACGTAGGATGTTATAACAAGTTGCATTCTAGAAACTAACACACGATGTGGAGAGGGGAGGTGGGGTGATCAGAGGAAAGCCACAATTCAAGATATTTAACATTCGACTTGGTTTCAACTTTCAGTGCTATCTCTATGTGATAGTAAAATCATGTGAACAAATCAGTTCAATGTTAAGTCGTACTCGTGTCCGAAAGTCAAATTAACAACCTGAGAACATTTGAAGGGATTTCGAAGGAAGGTTAAAATCATAATTAACAAGAAGCGTAAATGAGAAGTGGTTTCTTAATAAATCTGTCCATTGGAAGAAAGTATATATACAAGTTATTAAGAAAATTGAAGAGAATATCGAGAGAATACAGAATCGTTTCAACCATTTGAAAAGCAAAACACGCAGTGTTCAGCGAAGAGTCTCTTTTCGGCGGCCAACTCACTGATCAATTGGCTGTACACTAGCAATAAAATATATAATTACTTTTGTATATGTACACTGGGTTTGTCCGACAAGAACAGAATTTAGTTAGGGTTGCAGTTGTAGTTTTTGTTGTTTACGTCATCAAAATATTCCAAAAAATATGTGATGAATAATCAACATGTCACTGGGCGGGAAGGGGTGAAGATTGGTATGAGGGCAGTCGTGATGAGTTGTCAAGAGAAATAGTTGTCAATGTTAGCCAGTGAATACCGAGCAAGAATCATCGACAAGAATATTAAATCAAAATTCCGGAGGGACAAAACAATACTTTTTCTAATAACAAAACTTTACATGAATCTGGATTCCAAGGGAGACGTAGCTTGCTATATCCTCAAGAGAAGAATTTCAGAATATTTCAGAATAATATTTCTTATTTTGATTACAGCTTGATTCCACACCGTATTTTTCGTACGGGTATGGAATTTTCAGCAAGTGATAGCGGTAGACTAAATCTTCCAGGCGTCGGCAGTGGATCGAACCCCAGACCACGTGCATGATCGGTGAGAGTCATAACCGCTGCGCCACCGACGCATTGCTGCAGAAAGTTGATGGTGGCTGTATGTGGAGTGCAGGCATCATACACCTTGTCATAAACAGTGGTCATCTCAACATCTCAACAAAAGCCTCCTGCTTCAACGTAATCTACACAGTCATTCGAGAATAAC